GAGGGAGAGAGAGAGAGAGAAAGGTAGTAGATGGCTAGATGGATATAGAGATGGTTAGAGAGATAGAGAGATGGTTAGATGGTTAGAGAGATGGATAGATGGATATAAAGATGGTTAGATGGATGTAGAGATGATTAGATGGATATAGAGATGAATAGACGATTACACACATATACATACACTACTATACGAGGCAGAATGAATGCGATGGTGGGAGATAGTGGATGGATCGAGGTGGATTAGAGATGGATTGGAACAGGATAATCTATGTAGTTACCGCATATATGCATATAGGTATCTAATGCTATCTATGCTGACCATACGACACGCCTATGTCTTGGAATACGATAGATAGAAATAAATGGTTTTTTGATGGGATGATAGGATAGATTGAAAGGAGAGCTATTTATATAGTATTTTTTATTTTTTATTTTTTATATAGAATATTCAACCCGTCTTGAGATTTTTCGTTAATTAATTGGGATGGATGGATGGGATCGAGACGTTTGGTTGGGGGATATTGAGATGGGGTTCATGATGGATGAACGGTGAGATTGCACTGCTTGATAGGTGATAGGTTTGGATTGGTGGGAAAGGTGTGTTTTGTAAAGGAACTCGAATGTTGGGAGGGATGTGTGATGGGATGGGATGGGATATGATATGGGATATTGTAATTGTATCTTGAGAGTTTGAGAGTTTGGTTGTGGGGAGGAATGGGGAATGGGTGGGATACCTATTGTATCGGATTCTTTCTGATGTTGTGATGTGAATGATAGATAGTATCTACGGAGGTCATTGCTATGTGTACCTATCCCATCCCGAGATACTAGATCCTCAAAAGCTATCAAGAAGACGGCCATAAGCATATCAATGCTTCTACGATTCTCAGATCCCGAGTTTCTCATTCTGGGAATCGAAAGATCGATATATCAATTCCCGTATATGAATCTACCAAGTCGCGTCTGTATTTCTCGCCACAAGTCGGAATTGGTTGTTGTGTCCCAACTCCGTAAAGCTCACCTCTCTATCTGATTTTGTATTCGGGGCAAGATTCAATGTTCGATACCTAGGTAGGTAGTGTATGCGCCATTTGGAGAACTGAATGTCAATTAGGATATTGGTCAGAGAGTGTATGCTATCTGCGGACTTTGCATCGCAAGTTGTTGTAGAGTTTCCGGTTCGTTTGTTATGAAATGAGAGATCAATCGCAATGTCACAATTATCTGCAAAATCGTCCATATCTGCTTTACATTTACATAGGTATATAACCTAGCCATCTTCGCATGAGCTTTTCACAGTGGCAAAATCCAAAGAGACTGCTATTATCGTAGACCATCATCTAAACCATGTAAAATATATTGCCATCTATCTGCGGATACCAATCGATTTACCTTACTTACTTGAAGCAAAATTCAGAATGAGCAGAAGGATATGAATGGGCGCTCGAAATCATATGAAACACGTAACTGAAGAAGTTGAAGTACCGGAGGTACTTCAAGTTCTTCAAGACAGCCTCACCTTCTCGGAGCATTTTCAGATCAAGAATTGAGAGTGCTATGATACGAGTCCTTCATTGCATATTGGGGTGATGATTGTGTAGAGTTTGAGGTTGCTTTCTTGTAATATACGTGTTCCATTCGTGTTCTATTGACATAATCGATAAAGCTTTGTATTCTCTCAACTACCTGACTACTTCTAGTCAGGTACCCGTCATCACTTCTACATCGTTGACTCTTCCACAATCTCACTATTCTTCTTCTTCAAGCCCCAGCTAAAAAGCCAAGTTCTCAATGAAAAAAAAGGTTTTCCCGAAGGAAGCAATCAAAAATTCCCCCGATGGGGACCCCGAAGGATACCCAACGATTCTCGTCGCCCCGATGTGCAATGGAGGACTCGTATCATAGCACTCTCAATTCTTGATCTGAAAATGCTCCGAGAAGGTAAGTATGCTTTTTAAAAGATCTGGGAAGAAAGGGGACTTTATATAGAAATCAGAGATGGCTTGTGCACGCTAACAAAGAGGCCAGTTGGTGCAAATAGAGCAAACATGGCTTAATTGGGGATAGTGGGAGAATCTAAACGGATGTGGGAGAATGTGGATCTTCGACAATGGGTGTAGTTGGAAAGTTCATGATCAATTTTGTTGATTAATTCAAAAAATGTGTGGGTTTGATCAATCTATATTCTTATTGACCTCGATTGTTAACAAAAGGGGGTTTTTGACTTTCGTTAATGTTGAGTTTGGCCATAAGGAATTGAGATGGGAAGGAATGATTTACCAGATGGCAATAATGAATAGGTAGAGGTACTAGGTAGCCAACATAGGTACTAGGTACCTACCTACCTACCTAGGTAGATACCAAGATACTTTCCTGTGTAGTATGCATCGCACACTTTAACACAATTTCACATCAATCAATTACAATTGAGACTTACTTTTATTTCTTTACAACCACTTTTTGAATCGTGATGATTGCATCATGTCATTTATCTACTTCCAATTCACTATGGTCATTCATCCGTTTCCTTAATTCTTATCATCGCTTCTCTTTTCTTTTCACGTTAAAGTGAAAGCTGGCGACGTTGGCGGCGTTGTGTTTTACTTATGACGGTTTATCCATCTTCAATTCCCGATTTTTGTTTGCATTTAAATGCCACACACAATAACCTATTTTATACAAGTGTTTGAAGTGATCTGGAGTGGAATGTGGTGAGCTACCACGTATTGAGGAGCCCATGTTGCATCGATCGTGTCTTTCAAGATATTACATTCATCGGATCGTCGTGAGCGTGGTAAGATGTTTGCTCGTGTTCTCCTCTCACAAGGTAACATCTTCCTACACTGTTTTCTCTATATTATCTTCTCTACATCATTCTCTCTATATGCAAATCTGGAAAACATGCTGACTCTGATCTAGTGCTTTCTTTCGACTCTCGTCTTCTTCAAGAATGATACAACTGATGAGTGGTTTCCTCCAAATAAGTCTGCAGAGATATGGGGAGATCATATCTTCTTCGTACCGTTTGCCATTATGGTGTTGATTATTCCCAGTTTCTCACTATGAAGCCCGTACCCTGGTCGAGGACAATTCTATACTTGCCATGGGCAGGTCACTTCAAAGTGGCCGTGTTTAAGTAACCGTGCTTATTCAGACGAATGAATGCATCCATTCTGTCGGACAATCGTGCAAGCACAATGTTCCTGTCGAGGGTATAATGATTTGTGAGTTTAGAATCTACCATCCCCCCCCCCCGAACAATAAAATGTGCTGATTGTTCTATTTCCTGTTAAAAAGCTCACAAATTGATACCTTCCTGACCGAATGCCGTATGCTTGATGTCACTTTTCTGTCCAGGAACACAGTTGATCAATGTGCCGTCTTTCTCTGGTCCGAGTCTGTCCGCTAGAACATCCTCGCGTGTCTGATAACGACTGCCTAAGGTCATTGTTATCTCCAGGGCTGAACAACTCATAAGGTTTGCATGTCCGGCATTTCCTAAAACAATTTAGCATGCTAACTCTTCGAATTTCAGGTTACAGGGCTATACATCATTTACATTTGAAAGGCGGGATGTGGCAATGGAACCGCAATCGAATCTACCAAGGTACTATACCACGATTATGGCTATACGATCATTCAACGCCACCAAGCATCATTTGTGGTAACACAGCGCCGATAATGAAGAGTATATCATTGTCAACTGCCACAGTATCCTCCGCCTTCATAAAGAAAGATTGAAAATCTGTATCAAGGACTGCGTGTGCTGGATAACAGACATAAGTATAATTTATTCTAGCCCTACTTGAGTTAATGATATGCAGACATCTCCTTTCCAGGAGCCTTCCAATCACAAAATCGACCACAATACATGCTAATGACTGCAGAAACTCTTTCTGGATGAACGATTGGTAGGCCGTTGGATGCTACCCTGTGTTTAATAACATAAAGCCGTAATACCCCCACGGTTTCGGAGACGAGCCTTTTCCGGATTGAGCAACCCTGAGGACATTTCCAAATTTATGAGAGAAGAATAAGCGTCATAAAATCACAGATATTATCACATATTCGAGTGGTGTCCGGATATACTACCCTTTCTGGAGATTCTGTGAGTCTTGAAGCTGCATTCTAAGATTAAGCTCACGTACAGATGATGAAGAGAAGTTGATGGTAAGATACGAAGCATCAGATCATGAGACTACACAAGACAAGGAATTGTTATTGGAATAAGAGATGAGAGAGTCAAATAAGATTGGAGCTTTAAAAACTGTCACTAAAAGGCTCGGTACAGATGCACTTAGCTCATGCATGGGCTTAATCAAACGATTACTGCATCGAGGATGCGAGAGAGAAATTATCGAGTGTCCTAGCCAGACATGTAACTATAAAATCTCTTTTGCAAAAGACGTTAGTCAATTGAGTTGCCAGTAGTTTCGGCATGGAGCTCAGTCAACCGATGACTGCATTCTTGGAGAGATATAGGCTAGTATCGATTGCCGCAGCTCAGGCATATGGATTTGCACCTATCTAGCTGTTTTGAAGCTGAATAGTGGGCGTCATTCTGTCATCTCTGAACTTGATAAGAACATAAAGTCGATTCTGAGGCCGGCTGTATTGTCTGGGAATCAATTCATAAGTACCCCTCCTCTTGGCGAGGAACCAAATAGGGTTCATTAAAGCTTCGAGTACATTCCAACAAGGTATGACCCACCCAACCATTTCTTCATTCATTCTAGGACATTGATTCAATCTGAATCTTGCTTTTGGTTGGGCATTCTACATCATTCGGAAGATGATGCCATCTCAAAATATTGGCGAATTCTCGTGTGTGTAAAGCTTTTAGATCTGGACCTTATCAGGACTATCCGTTGCCCTAAATCAAATAGTTGCTTGAGTATGTACTCTTGTTGAGTAAGCTCGTGAGAAATTTCGCGGGATCCATGCTGGCCGACTTGTTGGTACCCGAACTTCCTTGGGTGTTATGTTCTCCGGCCATGCATCATGTTCTCATTCTGGTTTTCTGGAACCTGGAGCCCGTGTTTTGCTATCATTTACTTTGGGCCAAAGGTCTTGTTCCCAAGAATATGAGATTTCCGAAGCTCACTAACATGCATCAGGCTCAGCGATTTCGTTTTGTCAATCTTCAAAGTCAGCTGATGTCGATTTTCTTTTTCAAAAAGGAAAAGCAACGAACCGAAATATTGTTTGATCGGCTTCTTAAAAGTATGAGACGCTTAAATCATGGTTTCTATGCAAATTCTGGGGTGGACAAGAGAGGGTTACGGGGCATTGACGTCTTTTGTATGTTGAGTTTTGCATGTTGAGGCAGAAAAGGCTCACCGATCTGTGACTTGTTAATAGATAACAGCAGGCACGAGCATATTTGCAGGTCAAATACGAAAGTGAAGGGTACCGATATGCAAGGTTGAGAGAAAGTCCACGGGCGTACAGTTTCCACGAAAAGCCTTGCTGATGTCCTTTCTTTTAATGAACAGTTTGAGGAAGGAGTAAAATTATTCAGGGCCAAGGCTTGCCGGTTTAGCAACTGACTTGAACGATTTGTTCACTGTTGCATCCCACAGAAGGTACTTCGCCTTGTTTGTTTCCCTAAAGAAAATTTGAAAGTTCAGTCTACTCATATAGGACAGTGATTTCGGCACTCTCTGGCCGCCCTAGAATTCGCGTTTCTTCCTTCGCATGTTACAACTCGGTTTCGTTCAGCTAGTATGATTATGCTTACAATACAAGTACTGACTCTGGTCCACGATTGTTGAAATAATATATGTCTGTGGGGATGCTATCCGACAGCATGCTTTCACTTTCAAATTCAAATCCACTGTCCACTATTCTTTCGTTGGGATTCTCAACCGAAAGGCTGCAGCTAATAACGCGGGTAGCACTCAACTACTATCTTCAAAGCACCGTGATTTGAGCTGGATCTTCAAGAACGTCACCTCTGAAATCTTATTCGATCTCCAAGTCTTCCATTTCAACTTCAACAGTTAAAAGCGCCTATAAATCCCTGAAATTTTGATATTATGGCTGTTCTCGACTCCCTGCCCGGGATTGAGGTTGCGGTATGTGTTGATGGCGAGCCATTTAAAGAATATGAGAACACCGAAGATGAGTTGATATTGAATGAGCCAGAAGGACTTGGCAAGAAGTTTGAAGTCACTAAACATCAGCGTTCTGTGACGGTTAAAAAGTTTGTCGAGTCTACGGCCGGCAAGTTCTTTACCATTAAATGCACCGTCAAAAGCCCATATAGATATGCAGGCGCTTGTACGCACATTTCATTTTGCTCTTCTATCGATGGCGAGAACCTGTCTTGGGCCCCTCTTTTCAACAAAGAAACATATGAAAAGAATAGCTCTGGCTTGACTCGAGAGATCGAGGGAAATTTCTATAAGGAGGAAGGAAAACTACTACTACAGAGATTACAGTTCACGGAGATGCACTTGAGTAAGATTCCAACGGCCGCGACTCTGGGCAACGTACTAAGCCTATATCAGCTCAGTGGGATAATTCGATCGAAGCAGCCATTCGGCCTGACGGAAGCGGACGTTACGTGGGTGAAATCGAAGTGAGAGTCTTTCGAGAAATGACCCCATCAAAAGCCAGTCTTGTCAGCACAGCTCCATTAGTTAGTAAAACCGAGATTCTAGAGAACTTGTTGAAGGGCCAAGCAAAATCGCATAGCACATTGTAAGACCTCATATGTTTTTACCACTTGCTACTATATTACTGAGAGTTATGGACCGTCAGCTAATCTTGCGGATAGATTTAGTCAGGGGGAGGCTGAAAAAGAATGCAAATATGTGAGAACGAAATGCCGCGATGGCGGGAGAGAGTATCCTATTGCAATTTTCAATTTTCAATATGGCTCGAAAGGTTGAAGTTCGTTCCAGAAAAGCGCGTCCAATCATCACTAATCTTTTAATGTATAGGAGATCTTGAAGCATTAGGTATTGTCGAAAGGATGTCGGAGCCAGAGTCACCGTTTGGTTGTGGTCATGATTCTAGACGACTACCTATACCGATGAGTGGACCTCAAGCTCCAGAAAAGTTGTTCCGGGGTACGATGAAAGAAGCGGAGGCGGAAACGGAGGCAAAGCTATCAAACAACAGTTCTGATGGCGGATCTACTTCCAAGCCACTGCCAAACACGTTTGCCTCTCCAATCAAGCAAAAACTTCAAGATGCTGGATCTGTTGAAAAATGTATCGCAACAACCCCTTCAGTTCCTGTCGGCTCTTCTAATATCACGTCCCCAATAAATTCTGCATCCTGGAATCTTCAAGATCTAGATACAACACAGACTGGACAATTGTTTGGACAGTTCCTGCAATACTTACAAACACAAGGAGGTGGACAGCCCTCACAAGCACCTCCGCCACTCCCAGTAGAAACCACTCCCGCGGCTCTTCCCAGCCTATTGAAATCCACCAGTAGCAGCGAAATTGTCACTACAGCTACTTCGAAGCCAACAGTCAAGCGCGAGAAAGAAGAAAATGAGAACGAGAGTCGCAAGAGACGTCGCAAGGTTAGAGAAAAAGTTACTATTGACCTTACAGAGGACGAATCTGATGATGACGTTGTGATTGATCTTGATTCGGATTGAGATTTACAAATGTCCCTGGGATCAATGGGTAACAAACAACATCTACGATCATCTAGGTTGATTCTTCTGAGCCGAGTCTTGCACCATCAATCTAATCATTACAGTGCTTTTGTTACGTTGGAAAATTATTATGGGCGATTGGTAAATTTGGGGGTAATCCAAGGAACACATCGTTGAATAACATCGTTACGCCATGGGATGTTTATTTGAAGAAAAGATAGAGACTGTTGGGCGTCTCATACCAAGTCAATACTACTGGCAACTTAAATATTCATCAAACATGAAAGTATCCCACAAATACAAAGTCGTATAATTCCATACAAAACCTGTGCTCAAGACTTCATGAGTATGTATAATGGTCTCTCCCACTTCTCGGACGAAGAAATTACCACAACTTCTTTTACTCGTGTTTCATCCCAATCTTCGAAAAAGGAGCGACGAAGATTCACTCATGTCCATTGGAAACTCTCCCAACAACTTCAGTCTAGTTCAAAAGCCACGTTGATTACCCCGCTCTTGACTGAAGTGTGCGGATACAACTACGATCTCAAGTTTCCTTCTTCCACCTCATCTTCTCTTCCTAAACCTCTTAGATTTTACCAAGAGTACCCATTCCTTTCAGCTTCCACACATCATTGAGGGCGCGTCTCATCCGCTTTTTAGTTGCCGACGCTTAATTTCGATACTTAAAACCCTATTCTTCCTTCTGCCTTTGAACTTCCAATTGCTTTATATTTCTGCCCAGAACTCGTCTTAAAACCGCCGGCTGCAAGAATTGTTCACAGGATCTGCAAGTAGTCTGCATTGCTAAGGACCTTTAACTTCCATTTCGTCTCTGAATAAGAAGGCGGTTTTACGCATATATTTATTTTCTATGCAAATCTTTCATCTTTAAATTTTCATTTCCCAAGGCATCTGCTTGATTACTTCATCGGCTTTGCACCTTCTTAACTTTATCGTTACCTCTTCACCATGCCTAGGCGCAGGGACTTCCTCGACGACAGTCTTCCAAAGGGAGTTCATGCTCCGCCTGTCCCAGGAATCACAGCACAAATAATCTCACAGGACAAGAAAGCTTTCCTAAGCTATCCTTCTCCCGATAAAGAGGCTATCGTTGAGGGTGACGAGTTGTCTGAATATTTCAGCGTTCGCACCGTCACAACCTATATTGCCGTTACCAATAACACACCATTTTCAATCCATCTTCGGGTTGATAGACCTTATCCCGTGAAAATGGACTGCTCGAAATTGCAGTTCGAGATCTTCGTTGATGGGAAGTTTGTGTGGGATGCTTGGTGCCATAAGCCTCGGTATCAGGATAATGGAAATGTATGGGAGGAAATTATTGGGGGATTGAAACTGGGAAAGGGACGAAGTTGTGAGATTAAAGACTTCAAATTCATGGGACTCAAGACCAGTAAGTTGACCGAATACTCAAATTCATTATCTGGCCCGCAGCTCTGCACATGAGGTTTGGTACTAGACTCGAGGGAAACGAAACACCTACGACGGATGAATATGAGAAACTCATGAAAAACTAATAAAATTCTACAGACGAGGAAAGCATGTCCTATACGGCCATTCAGCGTATTAGGGAATCCATGGCCAAGATTGGAAAGATTGAGATCAAGGTATATAGAACGATGTATGGAAAAAAAGGTGGCGATGTCAAGAATAGCAAGAAGGGGTTCTTGACCAAGAACAACAGAGAGGTTCCTGAGAAAGCATTGAAGGGCGAGGCAAAGAGTCATGGCACTGCGTAAGTGTACATTCCTTCATGTTGTTGGAAATGATCACAAACTAAAAATCAAATAGGTTGGATGAAGAGCGAAAGACAATCAGAGGAGATGTGTGGCGAGAGGCCAACAAACATGGTGAACTTCCAATCATCATTTTTCGCTTCCTATATCGCTCGGAAGGTCTGTATTATCCAGTTAACCAGGAAGAATCTATCGCTAATCTGAACACACTTGATACAGAAGCACTGAAATCCCTGCACATTATTGAACACACTCCTGCTTCATCCCGCTCCAGTTCACCAGAAAGCGAAGACGAGGCCAGTAGCGGCTTATCAGCTGCCCAAGCCAAGCAAGTCGAGGACTTACTTAAATCTTTCAGAAAGCCGGCAGGCGGAGGCGGTGGATCAAGCAGTCGGAAAGCAATAAAGAGAGAAGATGAATTGGGTAATAGGAAGAGAATCAAGAGAGAAGAGGAACCCGAAAGCAGCGAAATGGCTGCAAGGCGACGTAGAGCTGAAAAAGGCAAGGGGAAAGCAGTTACAATCGATCTGACAGCAGACGATAGCGGCAACGATGAAGAGTCTGAAAGAAGAGCCACAAAGCGACGTAAAATTGCAAATGGCAAGGGAAAGGCAGTCACGGTCGATTTGACAGCAGATAGCAGCGGTGAGGGCGAGGACAAAGATAAAGAGCCGAATGTTGTTAGTGACGACGAGAAACTGGAGGTTCATAATCTGGGTGCCGACGAGGATGATGTTGATGACGGATACGATGATTTGTTTTTCCAAGATAATGGTCCACGAAGCAAGCGGCCATTGTGGAGAGGCTCGAGATTGTTTACACACTCTTAAGAGTTTGAATGAAAGGACAATTGGACCTATAATAGATGCGAGGAGAGGTAGACATTGACATATGGGCTAAGAAGGACGGAAGCGCGTATTTTTAAGCCGGCAATTTATTTTAACTTGCACCACAGCCCTATGGGAGGAAGAAAGCGATATCATCTGGGAAGGGAAAACGCGCAAGAAAGTCAGTGGGTGGTTGCTAATCTGGAATAAGCGTGGATTATTGCAGGTGGAGGGGTAATGAGAATAACCCAATGTTGGCTTTGAGAAGCTCAATGCACGAAAAAGTTATAGACATGAATAACAAGCCATTTATTATCTCAAGCGCTAGGTAAGCTGCATTTTTTGACAAAACTTGAGCTGAAAACATTCATGGCAAGAAGTAAATGCAGACAATGAAAATCACGTGAGATACATGTGGTTTGCATTGTTCCAAGTTTAGCGTGGATTTTCCTTGGAAGCGAGAGCGCTCGGCTCTTCTCTCACCACAAAAATATCTGATGACGTTGAAGCTCCGAGCTACAGGATACATTAACACCACTACTGTAACAAATAGCTTGTTGACTTTTCATCAACACTTCCTTCTTCAACAATACACTCAACTTTCTTCTCCTCCACCACATCAAAAGATTATCTATATTACTGTGAGTTTTCTTCTTTGATCTTATCTCATCATAGGGACAATGAAATGAATGCTTTGAGCTCAATACATTACGAATGCACTACGTAGGATCCTTTCGAACATTTACTGATATTTACATTGGAATAGGCCACGAATCAACAAAAAAACACTTCATTTGGAGGAAACAATACAGCAAAGATGACACTCTATTACAGTCTTGTACGTTACCACCTTCTGCCATTCGCCGATGAATTTCACAACACCCCTCAGCCCAATATGCTGATCCGCAGCTCCCGCAAAGTCAACAAAGCATGCTAACAACAATTCGTACAGGTCTTTGTGCTCCTTGTAGCAGAGATGGCACTTTTCATGCTTCTCATCGTTCCTCTGCCTTTCACCATCCGCAGAAAGATGTTTACTTTCATGTTCGTGGTTCGCCATTATTTTTCTTCCGCCTGCAGCTACTAATACCCCACTAGAAGCGAAAGTCGACTGGTAGCAAAATTACAGTACGGGATGAAGATTACGTTCATCTTCATCCTGATTCTGTTCCTCGACAGTGTGAACAGAGTATATCGGGTTCAAGTCGAGTTAGCAGAGGCCAACAAAAATCAAGCTGGGTATGATTTCCTCTCCACTTTATCTGGCAGTTCAAAAGCTCACGATTAATAGTAACCCTGTCCTTGGTCATGAACGCATGGAAGTACAAGCCCGTAAATTCTATTCTCAACGTAACATGTACCTCTGTGGTTTCACGCTTTTCCTCTCCTTGATCCTCAACCGAACCTACACCATGATCCTCGAAGTTCTCCGCTTGGAAGAGAAGGTTAACCGTTACGAAGGTACCGGCAAGACCGGCGGAAAGGATTCTGAAAAATTGGACCGTGCCGGAAATGCTGGAGAAATTGGCAAGCTTAAGAACTTGTTGGCCCAAAAGGAGAGAGATATTGAGACCCTCAAGGAACAATCGGCCAGAAACAAGCAGTTCTCTGATGACATTCTTGATAAGGCTCAAGCTGGTGAACCATCTGCTGGTAGCAGAAAAGAGAAATAAATTGGTTTCTTGATATGCCGGGCGCTTTGGCGAACTACATCGACGAATCAATACTAGGGAATGGATGAATGGAAAGAATGAATATGGTGGTGCCGGAGTGGACAATCTGGGGACGGAGCAGGGCAGGGAGTGAGGATGAAGCGTGTCTTTTTTGATGGTTCATGACGGGAAAAGTTGGCTTTCATGAGTTTTAGTGGCGTATCCATGAAAAAGGAAAATACAAATATGGTATGAATTAACACGATTGTTGAACATGATATGTGTTGGGCTCTAAATTTGGGCCTGATCAGAGAAACAGACTCGAATGCTAAACACTGTTACTCTAAAATTCCTGTTCTGATTGCCCTTCTCGTTTTTCTTTAACTCCTTTGTGATTTGCTCACTTGCGTCGTTGATACACCTCGCTCCGTCAAGGAACACGCCCATGAGATTGACGTTATGCATGTAGATGAAAATCCATCCAAGCAGTCACGAGTCAGCAGCAAAGCAGTATATCAAAATCTCATAAAATTACACTCGTGTTAATGCTGTTAAGAGACTAGCTTCTATCCAGTAGGCTAGTAGTTACCATGTACTTTGCGTATGTATTTCCTAAATTTACTGCATTGCCCGCCCGTGTATGATTTTATGTCTCCCCTCACAATATAACGTAACGCCTGATGGTATGCAAGCTTTGGAACTTCTTCATTCCCGCGTGATTCTCATATAACTGGACTATCTATCCTTCTGCTTCAATTTCATAACTGTTTGATTTATGCTTGGGCTGGAATTTGAAACCTTCGTGTGCGGGACCGAGGAACATTTCACTGGTTATTTAGTTAGTATCATGATTGTTAGGAAAGAACGATACAACGAGAGAAATAAAACATACCTGATCTTCATCCAATCCATATAGTTATCACTAGCCAACAAGGTTTCCAAATCATTTCGGCCCCTATAAGCTGGTGGACGATCTTGCAAACTAGGTGGTAAATGTTCCAAAATACCCGCTGGAACATATCGATGAGCAAAACTCAACCATTCCAACAAGAATCGTCTAGTTTGACCAACACCAATCTCATCCGATCCCCAGGCCTCAAGTCCGTAACGTGTGAATTTCTCTACGTATTGTAGACGTTCTGAGGCGGATTTATCGAGGACTTGTCCCTTTTCAATTTCTTCAAAGAGCCATGGCTTGATGAGCGCACCACGTGCTACCATGACGGAGTCAACGCCTGCATTTTGGATATGGTCGAGATAATCAATGTGAGAATAACAATCACCGTTACCGATGAAATGTATTTTTCCATCAGGAGCATTTGGTAATGTACGGGCGTCTGGCTCCATGACTGTATCTGTCAAATCATCCTTCTTTTGGTTGTATGACTTGACGAGAGCTGCACATTCTGCAATGTAGCTCCAATCGGCACTTTTGGTATATCTTTGTTGTCTACTACGACCGTGGAGAGTAATAGCAGCGCAACCAGGAGCTCCAAGTCTTTCGCGTGATTCAACACCTCCAAATGCTAAACGTTCAATGGTCTTAAAAGCATTAGGCTTTCCAGTCATAGTACCCATTCGAATTTTGGCTGTGATGGGAACTTCTCCTGAAACGGCATTCATACCTCGGATCATTTTCTCTAATTTTGATGGTGCATCGAGTAATGCTGAGCCGGCTCCTTGTCGATAGACAAGTTCAATAGGACATCCACAATTCAAATCAATTACTCGCAAATGCGGCACGAATCGACTTAGAACTTCAGCAGCTTTAATCGCCATGAACGGTTTGCTAGCCGAAATCTGGGTGCCGAACTTCAAGTCTTTGGAATTATCGTATTTTTGAACAACAGAGCTCCTGTCTGCGTTGACTCGTGGTGGTGTGATTTCACTCTTGTGTGCCTTCATTAATGCCCACTCTGATTTTTGACCTTGAAGCAAAGGTATCGACATTGCCATTTCCGAGTAAGTAAGTTGTGCACCAAGTTCCACACAGAGCCGACGAAATGGGAGATTGCCTTGAGTTGTGAGCGGCGCAAGAACAGGTGTTTCAGGACCAAAGTAAATTCGTCGCTTCTCAGATGGGAGGAATGGGGGCTCCACATATCGCGCTCGATTCTCTTGCTTTTCTTCCTCGGTCTGATCCTTTTTCTGGTCCTTTCTCAGGTTACTTTGTCTGTTAACTTCCTCTGAATTCTGATCCAACCATGTTGTGTAGAGATCGGATTTCTCCATAGGCGTTTTCTTTTTAGCCAGATCGATCTTATCTTTAGTGCTGATCACATTCACGACACTCCCCAACGCTTCTTCACACCCGAGTGTTGTATCATCCATACGATCTGTATCATCTATAAGGACCAACTCCATTTTACCATCCTCTCTTTTAATCTCTTTCGAATGACTTCCTACAAAACGACACTTCCAGCCAGCCAAACATGTTCCATTGTCTTCCCAAACTGGACATTTTGAATCGAATGTAGTCAAATCCGATCTCCGTCCTTCGGCCAAATATTTCCTAAGATTGTGTTCGCATTTACAGCTATCTCCATAACTGCATTCCTTTGGCGAGAATTCTGACGAATTCGATACGCTATTGCAAAGTTTGATCTTGTCACCCCAGGAGCCAAACTGGCGATCCTTATTTTGACCCTTTGCCTTCTTTTTTTTCTTGCCTCCATTGTCCCGATTATCTCCGTGAGTGTTTCCTTCTGCAGCATCGTCGTTTTCTGCAGGATTGCGACCATCAGTGGCCGATCGACTCCCGGCTGGCTGAATCAAATACCTAGAAACAGATTAGTAAGGGCCGAATTAGAAGCGCAATTGAGTTATCGGCTCTAAAATATGTATGATTATTGACTTACTCGGCCTTGACAGGGGCAATGCCTCTGACTCTATCACGAGAATCTGTTGCAGTGGGTTTGTGATTTTGCTCTTCAATTCTGGCTCTTTTTGCAGATGGTTCTCCATTGTCCACAGAATCCCCATTTGTGCCATTTCTCTCTACCTTCTCTGCCTTTGTGACTGCTGAATCCTCTGGAAGAATTGGTTGCGGTGGGTGTGCTTCCTCCAATTGTTTGCCATCTAAAGGTCGTTTCAAGGACTGAGAAGGGTCCACTGGATTGGGGATTTCGTCGGTCATAGTAATTTTCGATTATCGAGAAACAGTTTGAACTATTGGTAGTTTCTTTCGACCAATCCCTCGAGTTGATATTGATGTGGGATGGGATTGGGATGTTGATGTCGAAAATGATCCCGATTCGCCTTGTCAAAGAATGGCAATCGAGTAAAAAAAATTGAGGGGAGCTTTATCTTAGCGTCTTTTCGAGATCTACAAATACCTACCTACCTCCGTCGGTATGGATGGATGTGAGAGTATTGCAGCCACAGATGTGTGGCTCAATGTCTAGACCGTATTGATAAGTGGCTGAAGCGTTCATGGCCAGCTAGTCGAGATTGGGCTTATTATTCTGAAACATAAGTCTGTTTCTGGATCCAGTCGTTGTCCCCGTTTCCTTCCCTCCCCACAGTTCAGTCAGTCCTTCATATCAATTCGATTTTGTGATTGACTTGAGCAAATGTCATAACATTCCATTAATATACATACCTACATCATTGTCTTCCGCTGAGTAGAAGAGACAACCTCTATCTTCCCATACAGATCAGATAGATGGCTCTTCCATCGTGGCTATAACTAACCACCTCTTGCCGGCATCTGTATCCATTCGGTCAATCATTTGGTTCCATTCTGATATGCATAGACATATGATAAATCTCCACTGCCAGTGAAGGACAGCTAATGAATCAGGGGAGAAGAACTCCATCTTTCCTGCGACATTCGAGACGTTTACTGCATATTAAACTTACTGTACTTAAATCCAACCGCAAAAATTCATCAGCCACGACTGAATCCCTTCAAATCTTAGTAATTTTACTTCCCACACGTCTCATTTGCAAAACAATGAAAACCTCATTTTGTTGTTCAAGTAAAAAAAGGCGCATTTACAATGGCTGATTCTCCCAATGACAAGACTCGTCCCTCTTTAAAAACGAAACTCGTACGTTCACAGAAAATCATACAATTATCTCCGACAGAGACAAGACCTCAAGATATTCCTGAGGATTCCGAACCACCACCGCCATCTCGAGACAATGCGCCTCCTCCTCCTCCTCCTCGCAGTCATACCCCGGGACATCTATCAACCAAGAGTCAAGATAGGCGGAAGCAGAAATCTGATCTAGCTTTGCGCCAGAGATCACAGTCATTATCGCAAAAGGAATCCTCAACTTCATCTATCAAAACAACGACCGAGAAACCACCCTCGCTACATCATGTTAGCAGTACACCAATTCCCTCGGAGAAACTTTTGTCACCATCCGATGATAGTAACCCAGTACCGCAGCTTCCCAAAGATGAGACGCATAAACCCATTAATCTTCGTTCCACATCTGCCATAACACCGAAAGTTTCTTCCTCCGCAAATTCGTCTTCTCCTGTACCGCCCGCACAGCGTCCGCCTCGTGGGCTTTCTATTCCGTATCCTTCATTGCCAGATCCTAAACTGGCACCCAATGTTCTTCCTGCGCCAGCATCAGGAATGTACTGGTCTCGCGCCCCTGTCTCGGGTTCGTCCCATACGTCTTTGCGGGCACACACAACCACACTTATTGGTTCCAACATCTACGTTTTTGGCGGATGTGATGCACGTTCATGTTTCAATGAATTATATGTCTTAGATGCCGATGCTTTTTACTGGTCTACGCCCTTTGTTTGCGGAGATATACCTGCTCCTTTACGAGCAATGACGTGTACAGCTGTGGGAAAGAAGCTGATAGTGTTTGGTGGTGGGGATGGACCTGCATACTACAATGACATATATGTACTCGACACATTAAATTTTCGATGGTCAAAACCGCGTATATCTGGGGAGAAGATACCAAGCAAACGAAGAGCTCACACGGCATGTTTATATAAGAATGGAATATATGTTTTTGGTGGCGGAGATGGGGTGCGGGCATTGAACGACGTGTGGAGGCTAGACGTTGCGGATACGAACAAAATGTCTTGGAAACTCGTTTCTGCTCCGACGCAATCATCTGCCGATGATAGAACTAAGCCAAAAGCTCGCGGGTATCATACGGCCAATATTGTTGGATCTAAGCTTATTATATTTGGTGGATCGGACGGTGGGGAATGTTTCCGAGATGTATGGGTATTCGATATTGAGACGTCGACTTTCTCTCCGGTCAATATTTCGCTTTCATATCCGCGACTGAGCCATACTGCTACTATTGTAGGAAGCTATCTGTTTGTAATAGGTGGACACGATGGTGTTGAATACTCAAATGAAGTGTTACTCCTAAATCTTGTCACCATGGCTTGGGATAAACGGAAAGTCTACGGAGAGCCTATCAAAGCTCGCGGCTACCATGGAACAGTACTTCACGATAGTAGACTCATGGTAATAGGAGGCTTTGACGGGGGAGATGTGTTCGGAGATGTATGGTTGTTAGAGTTGGCGGTGCATGCATATTATAGTCAAATTAGTCATTTTAGCATCGATGTTTAGCGATAGAGTTGGAAAGGGGGAGCGGAAAGGAAAAGGTGTTTGTGGTTTTGTCTTCATCTTGCGAGCGTACGAACGATGTCATGAAATCTGTATGATTAATATAATACCATGGTTATCGATTGTTACTTTCTCTCCTTCGATTATGCCCAGTGGTATTCATCTATGCTTCAAACATTTCTAACGTGGTCAATTGACTCAAATCTTGATTCCTTAGCCTCAAAGTAATGTTCGCGCAATTTTTTCGGAGTTACATATAATTTAATTCGTTTGAAGGCTTCTAGGCAATTTTAAGGGGTGATATTTTGACGGAGGAGAAAGCATGCAGGTCGCCATATTCCGGTCAAATCAAAGGCTTCAGACGTACATATTGTCTGAATCTATTACCTTTAGCACACTTTTGCATATTTAATTATGCACGTCTGTTTCACAAACCCTTGAGAAGGCATGCAGCTCGCCAATTCTTCCTTGAGCTTAAAGAGAGCAGTCTGGCAAGGCCTCATTAAAACATCAACACAAACGAGTTTAAATTCGTTTGCTGCTTTTTTCCATCGCCTATCCAAATACTACTCCCAGCCTCTCTTCGTGATATTACCAAAGAATCCGAGCTATTGAAGATGGCTATCCTGAAATCTGTTCCTGGTATTGAAGTCAGTATCTGTGTTGACAATGAACCGCTAATCGAACACACCGATCGGAACGCGAAGGCCGAGCGGAGTACCGTCTTGAAATACGTCGAGGTGGTGCCAGATAAGGAGTTCACGATCAGAATCACTACTGAAAAAAGCTATAAATGGACTAGTCCGTACATTGTTCTGAACATAATGGTTGATGGTGTAGACATCAGAACCCTTCCTTTCGGCCGCCAGGAGTTCGAGCAAGACTGCCAGGCATCTTCATCACACGTTCACGAGTGTATTGGGTCTTACGGCATCGAAAATGAACAGGAGGTAGTTAGCCCTTTCAAATTCTCCAAGTTGTCTGTGTGTAAGTAGTTCTTCCAATGCTTCCCGTTGATCTCACTGAGAACATTAAAAGCCCACAGCGAGGAATTGAGAGATGAAATTGAGAATGATGTATCGCACCTCGAAAAGACGGGTGAAGTAAAAGTCGGCCTTTATCGAGCAAAGTCTGTCAAGAAGCTATCTGCAACCCAAGCGCGCAAGTATTGCCCGACCTTTTGGAAGCAGCCCGAGTTGAACAATCACTTGATGAAAGACGTTCACTGGGACGCGATCAGTGGAAGTTTGGAAAGCCAGTCTCACATGGCCACGTTAGTATACGCATGAACAACTCTCTAGATTTCATTGCTAAACATTCCTCAGCCTGGGACCTGCTAAGCCCGCCGGTGAAGATTCATGGATTAGGAATGTGTACGACATCAAATATATGGATTTCGATCGATCTAGGTCCGTTAAACCCCAGGGAGTCTTCAAGTTGAGGTATCGTTCTAAAGGTGCAGTTTTCCTCTATGACTCTTCCACAAATGTTCTATAACTCATTGGCTCATAATATCTCGTAGAATCTCTTAAGGCCCTTCTTGTTATCCGCTGGGATGACGCAGCGATCAAGAGGGAGCCTATGATCAAGATCGAAAGCGACAATGAAGACGTGGTCAAAAACGTGGCCGAAGATGCGGCCAAATCTATTATCAAACGAGAACGCGATGAAGGTTTGGTCGAGTCATCTATGCCTGCTGCCAAAAGAGCTCGATCGAGAAGAAATAAACAGTAGTCAATACATAGCGATCAGTTGTATCCAGACGTGAAGATTGTGGGACATGAAAGCTTAGCGGTGACCCTGTCTCATTTTCTATTCTTTAGCAGGATTTCCTTGGACGAAATGACCATACATAGGTACCAGCAAAAGAGTATTGCTAAAGCAGTATTTATCTCACTTGAACTCGGACTTTTCATCTAGCAATAACAATCCTTCCTCAACATCCTAAAAGAGATCCACCTACAATCTCCATCCCCATCTACATCCCCGCGTTTCATATCAATACCTACTATTCAACATTCCGATAGCGCAGTAGGGGATTCAAATTTGCCTTGAAAGCCCCAAAGAATCAAACGAGATATCAAGTAAACGAGAACATTAATATCATCTCAATCTACAAGCTGATATGGATCAATGTTGATTAAAGTAAACAGAGAAATTGACCTGCATACGATGCATCTCAGAACATCAAAGTACAAGTCAAGATTTCATCAATATCGAAACATATCATTCTTAGTTTCACTGTGAGAGTTTCTAAGTATCTCGATGTGCGAATAAGCTTAGGTATGCTTGTAGGCTTATTCAGGGGTAATGGCCGCGCACAGTGAGATGGCTCGTTTATTATTCCTTCCTGACCAACGAATATTAATATTGTCACTAGATTATGGTGGACGATTTGAATCACTAAGAATATACATACCCTTGAATACATCAACTTCAATCACAAGACATCAAGGTTAGTGTTTAAACTTAAATCATAGAAGAAAAATATCAATTGACTCCCTTTCGATCCAAATAGCAATCTTACTACGAGAGCCTCGTGAAACACTCGCGTGAATAAGATTGAGTAAATGGATACTTTCTATCTACTATCACAGATAATAATACCTGGTAAGCTCCACCGCCATAGTTCTTCATTGAATCCCACCACAAAAAGAATATCTTAACCCAACCATTGAAAAGTCTTCGAACTCTGTTGGTATCAACTTGGTTGATAAGTGTAAGTACTTTAGTCTATTATGGTTGTATTCGTTCTTAATCATTATTATCTATGGGAAGCTAGTATTTAATATAGTAGAAGTGCTAGCGCTAGTGTATACGCGAGTGCAATACAGTGCCCTCTTTTGATCACATGATCGATATCCCGACAAACTCCTTGCTGAAAGACACAATGCATGAGTTCCAACTCAGCCCCCAAATATATTATGAAATGATACTCTTCCAAGTACCATGTTATCCAACCACGCTATCCAATTATGCCCTGAATAAATTCCTCTTGTTGTAATAATATCCTCAATTTTATCCATGCTACCCAATCCCTACCGAAATATCTATATGCTCTTCTTCAGTACCCCCCCAATCGTAATAATGTTTCAACACAACCAATGTAATGGATGGCAAATAGCAGTATGCCAATTAAATTCGATCCCACCAAGAATTTCTAGTGGAATCAAACCGTAGTAGCACTGTGAATGAAAATAAATAGGCGAACTTGGCAACTTCGATGAATGAAGTAGAGTTCGTAATGCTTCGAAATATATTGATCTGGCTCTCACATCTGATCAAACAAATAAGCATAGTCTGCCTGAATAACCTCATCTGACACCTCGTGAAAACTCGTGCTCGGATCGTAGGATATGTCGTCAAATTGGTCCGAAAGGCCTAGGAAATCTTCCTCGCTGAGAAAATCATCCTCTGTATCATTGGAGTTTCTGGCCGCATTGCCATCTTCTTGATGAGGCAATATCTCAACCGACTCGTGGGAAATTGCTTGCGACTTCAAATTTGGCAGTCCATCGTGCGAGTCACTGATTTCGGTGCTTTTTGAATCATCTGAATCGACGGTCAAGTTCGTAGAGATGGGAGACAATCCAGCTTCATCTGAACTGTGTGTGGCTGAGCTAACCCCAGAGACTACAATAGCACCTGAAGTTTTATCGAGAGCAATAGCAGAGAAATCAATCGGACTGCCACTTGAAGCAGCAATAAAAGGCTCTTGGGTGTTGTCTTGTTCAGATATTTCCCAATCATGTCTTGCATTCTGATCATTGGACTCTCGTTGCGTAGAGCAATCCTTATCCTCGCTATTGTGCCTTTTCTTGTGTCTCTCACAGCTTCCTTCAGAATTTTTATCGGATATCTCGGCCTCGTCAATACTTCTTTTCTTCCCCTTTTCTGCGCTGACAGATGGTTTTGGTTCTCGAGACATGATTCTAACTTGATGGGCAGAGCATCCTTGTGATTCAAGGTCGTTTGACTTAGATTGGTTGTCAAGAAGCTCAATGAAACCATTACTTGAACCACTAGTATCACTAGGACTGTTAAATATGGATTGTGCAGGACCAAGGGATGAAATGTTGGCGAAGTTGGAATCATTCATTGTGGCTTGTGAGAGACCATGATGTCTCTGAGGGATAACTTCCATACCGTCCAAATCGATGTTTAATGTTGGGAAGGGATATTCGATACCGTATTGTTGCTGTGGAGAGTACTGATTTTTATACGGCAATCCATCTTGTGAAACCGTTTCCCCATAAAACTGTCGGTTCTGTGGCACTATGCATGCTTCGAACTGACCATATGAAGGCGTATCATATGGATAAGAAGAACTTCCAACATCAAAAGGGCCTGTTGGCATTGGCATTCCATTTGTACCCAGGCCTGGTAAGCCTTGTGTATAGTTCCCGTAATTTGTTGAGTATGGCGAATCTATAGGCGTTGGATGGCCATAAGACTGAGTTTGGTGCGTGTCTGGGCCCATTTGATTGCCATAAAATTGATACATAGTGCCCGATGGTACGTGCTGCGAATACTCTGGAATGCCACCGCCATTGTGCATGTAAGCGTTCGTTCCCTGACTGCTGCCCATTGTTTGTCTCATTGAAGATGAAAATTCGACACCAGGATACCACAAGGGATTCGATCTAGTCATTGCGGAATGTACCTGTCTAGGTTGTTGTTGGCGACTTCCATTGCTCAGTGAACCACCTCCATGTTGTTGTTGTTGTTGGTTGGCATTAGCTAGCGGAACACTGTTTTAAAATTAGTTAACTTTTTAGCTTGTTTATTAAGAGAGTACATACGTTATTTCATGCCCTCGTTCATATGATTTAGTGAATGGTGCATTTGCACTCATGCTCATGGTGTGAGATCTGTTAGGAGCAAATTGACCAGCTTCGCTCCTGTTCCAATTACCGCTTCTTCTAGGTTGTGACTGAGTGAGAGGACTCCCCATTGGCATTGGTGACATCGCATTTGAACTAGTATTACTAGAGCTCCCTGAGGAACTTCGTTTGTGGGCAGCAATAGTACCATTCCGCGGATTCTCCAGCGTGTTCCCATTTGTGCTATCTTGAGCTTGAGAAACAGAACTGCGTAGTCGCTCAATGATTTCTAGAACTTCTGGAGAGGGTTGTGCCCTAAGAAATTAGAGGATGGTATACGTGAAAGTGAATTTATATGGACTTACTCCGGTTTCTGAGTACGAGCATATCTAACGCTCGCTGCATTTGGTGTGTGACGCAAGTCCTTAACATTCTTCTTGCAGAGAAGTCCAATTGCTTCATCCGTGAAGAACCTGCCTGGTTTACTTTTTTGGGCGGAAGACGGTGAGAGGATTTTGGATGCCAAGAGAACAAACCAAAGCCCATCGTCAGTCCATGTTTTCACACCTACCATCTTGCCAGTTGACAACCGATAATGTCTAAATCCAAAGGTGAAGTTTCAAATCGTGAGATATAGACGTATCCGTTTCAACCTTGCTGAATGGTAGAGGCTGTTCAAGGTAAGTTAGCGCATATACTGGACAATAGTAAACATGAAACAAATATTCCAATCTCTCTCTCTCTTTTTTTCCATCTGGGGCATAACATCTCTACTCGACTTACCTGCTTTGATCTATTTCGTAGGATTAGATTATGAATATCCGTTTATTGTCGTTGCTGCTCACGATCTTGTGACTTCTCTCGTAATAGAAAATGTAATGATGATGATGTTATGAGTTGACGGAGCTCAGTGAAAGCCAGGCCTGTATGCGATTTATTTCCTCTATCCTCTATATGATCCTTCAAGCCAGAAGTTTTGTACCGAGGAAGTTTGTGGCTCGGTATTAGGTCCTTGTCAAAAATATTTTGAAGAATGCTTGACAAGGTGAATTTGATCTCAAGTTTTCGAAGATAATGTTGGGGATCGAAGAGGCGTATTATATGTGATAATATTGGTTGTAAGGATGAAAGGGAAAACTTTTCGAAAGTTCGATTTGGAGAAGTCTAAATATGAGAAGATTGATAGAAGAAATGGTATTCGCGGGACATTCACAGCAATAGCTGTAACCGAAAAACAGTTTTCGTGGATTATTCAAATATTGAATGCTAAAAAACTGAGAAAATATAAGTGATGATTCTAATATCGTTAAATGTAATAGTGATTGTGAAAATCTAGATATAATGATTCCAGGGCTCTGCGAAACCGAAGTTGAGGGCGTAAGACGCTTTGAGATGTCGATTAGGGCGATAATGATCGTGGCTTCCTCCTATATATTTGCTTCAAAGCTTAGAAGCTTTTCGAAAGTTCAGATGAAAGTTGTAGTTGGGTGGATCCAGGAAAGAGGAGAGGGTATGATGGAAGACCCCAGGTCGGAAATGCCAGATTTCTTAATGCCTTGATAGGGGGTTTGATGTAAAATTGTTGGTTGGGGGCGAGCGTGTCAAAATAATAGATGACAATATCTAAAAAGAAGTGCAAGAAATGTATGATATAAGAGATCAAAGTAGGATACTCGGCGTCTAATAACGGGAGTCAATATAGAAGGTAGTGCGCAAGAGTTCCAAAGCCACAAGAAGTAGACCTTCCCAACTTATGGGAATATACCCAAGAGATAGAAAGGAAGTTGCGGTTTGGAGAGTTGATGGATAAGAGGATGGAGAGTAAAGAAAGAGTCTTCCATGGAATGTCTCTTATGCTTAAATATAAAAGAAGTGAATTATCCTACAAAAACTAGAACCAGTAGATGATCTAAAATTTCAATTCACCCACACCTAGTTCGGATGACTTCTTACTTTGAGCCTTTCAAGTTCAGAGGTGATAGATAGATGATAATGGTAAAAATGGAGGCTTCAATAGTGGTTAGCTCGGGTACATTGGCAGCTTCATGATCCGTGGGCGTTGAAATAAACTTTTGCTCTTTCTGTATGATGCCGTACATTCATTCTCATTTTTGAACTAGCAATACAAAAATAATTAATGCCAGTCCATCATCTATCAAGTAAAGAACAAGAACAGATGACCTGCTTAACGTTGCTATCATAGTATAGTACGTGAAATCATGGGGCTACATATCAATGGATAGTGATAGGGAAAGCTGCTAAAAATAGGAATACAATCTATATATGAATGAAGAACGCAAATCTGAATATCAAGAACAAGAATCTGAGGGGGGGCGGAGTGGAGCAAATTTTGAATCAATCTACAAAGCACATTGATTGTGCATGATTTTTACCATCATCATGCCAATCACATAACTTTTACTTTGCTACTATAAGATTCACAATTCATCTCATTTACAAAAAAGTCGAGGACATTAACAGTTCTATAGAAATGAAATCATAGACGTATTGGAGTAGATGCCGCTACATCGTGCTTCCAGATGCCCCACCAACAGTGTACGCCATCATCGTCGTCGTCCCCTTCTGAATCCTCCCAATCATCGAAGCAGCGTTCTTTACCACTAGCAACTAATTGGTATCCTTGAACGGACATCAGCTCCTCAAAGTTATTCTTCATCGCCTTTGTTGCATTGTCTCTTAGCGGCACTGATACCAACACACGACTGTCTTCACTATTCTTGAGGAACTTCGGGATAACTCTAGCAAGAAGAGGAGGGTGGTGAGAATCATAGAAGGGATCGGCAACAAGAATTATCTATGAGTTTAATTAGATATTTGAATCATAGAAAGGGAAAATATGCAAAGAATACTTATCATACCTCAAACTTATCATCTGGGTTCTGGCTAAACACCACGGAGTTTTCTGCATCACTCCAATCCAAGATTGCTGCACTGGCTTTATCTTCAGAAGTATGGCCGAAACCATTTTTCTTGAGATTAACATCCAGGTTTGGAACAATGTCAGGGAGATCAGTCAAGATGGTGGTCTTGTTCCAGAGCATAGTTGCTGTCAATCCAAGAAGTCCAGTACCGGCACCAAGCTCTAGGATTTTCGCTTCGTTGCAGACATCCTGTCTCGGGAAGTCTCCTTGAGGCATCGCATCCCTTTCCATGCTCGACTCACTGACCACCATAGTGTCTCCTACTATGACGGCATTGCCATTCATTCTCGTGATGCAGTTCGATGTTTCGTCGCACGCCATGGTCAACTGAATCTCTACTGTTGACTCACTTTCCACAGTTTGGCCATTTTGTGAAGTTGCAAGCTCTTGCCCAGACAAATCACTGTTGGAAAGTACACCGCTAAAATAGAGGTTTCCTAGCTCTTCCAGCTTCTTGGCCATTACGAAGGAAGTACCCCATGTCTTGAGACCCAAACTATCACCAGTGAGTGGAGGCTCACACAGTTCAATGGCGAGGTCTTCTGAATCTCCAGATGTTGGAATGCTCCAAGTACGGATCATCTCTGGCATTGCTGCATTCAGTCAGATGATTTCTTGATTGTGATGTGATCCCTCAGTTCAAGTATTCAAGAAATTAGATGTCTTACCTGAACGCCCACAACGTTCCGCCAGTCTCTTGCTAGCAATTTCATGGATAGTTTCACATTGTTGTTCCCATTCCTCTTCAGATACTCCCGTGGACAACCAATCAAGCTCGCTTCCAATGATTTTGGTCAGATAACGAGATATGCCTTGAGCATCGTCAGATTCTTGGGACCTCCTAAATTTTGAGTTCCAAGAAGGCGGTGGAAGTTTGAGTAGTTCTAATACTTGCAAAAGTTCCAAGTATGATGGGCGTTTATAAAGTTGTGGGAAATCCAAAGCTATAGCAGTGGTATCGTGTTAGCATTAATTTAAGTGATGAAACATTTGAAAATGATTGAATGACAAACTGACAGTGAATAGGCTTATTGTCATTGGTGGCCAGGCCATCTAGTGACTCATTAGAGGGCATGTTGAGTGTAGCAAGTGGCCACGATAGTCGAAGTCACCAACACACAACTTGCTGGATATAGGTCCGTTCGCAGAAAATGAGAGTTTAGAAGAGAACAATTAATATAACCTTGTTATATTTAAGGATCGGCTTCAAGGGGCATAGAAGTGATAGTGCCTGATCGAGGTAAGAGAACGCAATAACTTAAGTTCTTTTCACCCTCCAGATGGAGTTCTCTCTTATCACCGTCAAAGAGCTCTGCTTATCTCAAACCCCCTTTTATACGCGACGAAAGGGTTAGAGGACAGCGATGCTCAAGAGTTTCTGACAAGTCAAAACCACAAATCAAAAAGTGGAGAACTTGTTGCTACTATCAGATTCCGAATGAAAGTGAGCTGTATATAAGTACTGCTGCACTTTTGTACAGTCTCACAAAATCAGACCCGCATCTTGACCAAAGCTTTAGTGATTAGATGAAATTTGTATGAGAAGAAAGATCTTTGATAGAATTCCCTAGCAACGATCGAAAGGGTGAATGAGAGAGAGGAAGAACAGAAGGAAGAAAAGATTTGCTGAAATGCTTCTGTTCTCTGACAAAGTGTGGGTCGTTTAATCCCTTTTCAGTTAAACCTTACCGTTTCCCTAGTACTTACTCCGTACTTTAATCGAATATCTGACCCAAAGATCCAGATCTTTCAATTGGCCTGTGGTTCACCGAAATCTCCGGTGCAGCAGCAAAGTTTCTCTCTGCGTAAGCGAAGTAACAGATAAGAATTTGGCCACCTCGATACTCAATACCAAAAATCAAAAGAACACATCAGAAATTACCCATAAATAATGAAGATTCAAATTATGGCATTAAAAAGAAACTTAGACAAGATTTCGTTCCAAAATTTGGGGGAAACAGCGTGTTTCGCTAATCAAAGCCTCTGAAACGTGTGAATCCCTACAGAACACTAACAAGCTTGAGGAAAGTCCCTTATCTCTTGGAAATCAGGTTCTCAGGCTCGTCTACCTCTCAATGATGGAAGCACCTGGGAATGATACTGACATAGTTCACCATAGCTGGTCAAAGTAATATTAAATTAGACTCGCAATAAATAGATGAAGATGTATGAGTAGGAGTAAGCACAGCAATAGAGACACGATGAAACAATGATACTGTGGTTCAAAGATGACTAATCACACACGGATATATTAGTCAGTCACGAGACATGTGGCGGAAATTGCCCAATCAGTTCAAATGACTTAACGTCACTTGAACGATATTCCATCTTTAGGACGAAATCTGGACCACAAGGGAAAGACTTTACATTCAGAGATATCAACTGGTTCTCCCTAGCGATACTCACTAGAACCCATCATGATTGAAGGAATATTCTTTGCTCGTTTCCTTCCCCAGAAAGGTACATGCATACATGTATCTACCCCCAATCCATATATTCACTAACATCTTTCTTTACCAGGTACCAAAGTCGTTCATCAAAGTCCTCCAGGATGTATAGTCCCAGAACCTGATGTAGATAAACCACGTCTGTTCGACTTTGAAAAGCTGGCCGAATATATCATTCCCCGTCAAGCATTTTGCAATCGACATGTTACAGTATGTGATCCCGAGAACAAACATCGCATTTTAGGCCATCCGGTTTGTATCAAAAACGAAAAATATGAACGCAATGAATTTATGTTCAATTTTTGCATTGTGACTAGAGTTGAGGTGGATAAGATTCCTTATGAAGCTGTGGTTAAACGTTTGGCATCAACGTTTACGGAAATGGAAATTCAGAATGAGTATTTGAGTCAGGAGGGTACGTTTTCATGCCAAGATCGAAGGTCGATAGCTGCGTTGTTGGAGATCATTAAGGAGGATTTGAATAATTACAATGAGTGCATGATTCCTGTCGGTATGTATCCTACGGGTCATCTAAGTTTTTGAGGTCTGTGAACTAACAATGCATGTAGATGATGCAAACACTATTAATATGAAGCTTTTCCCCATCCACAGACATCCACCCCCTATAAAGGCATGGCACGTCCCAATCTCGAAGATTAAATTTGCCGAAATCGTCGACGATACCTGGGATCTCACCATGAGGAAAGTAATCGAGCACATTGATGGCATCAAAGACGTCCGAAGAATCGCTCACGACGCAAACGTTGCTATGGATCTTACCAAAATAGCATTACAGCATCTTCTCTACTATGATTCCATCCTTATGCTCGATATTTTTCTCTTCAGCAACATTTACGCGCCTACATCTGAAATGAATGATTTTGTAGCTGATAAAGACGGTATGCAAGATGAATGCGCAAATTATGTCTACATCAATGGTCCTCGCCTCACAAATTTTCTACTCTGTCGACTCTTTACCACTCTTTGTACCTCAAGAACGCTCAAGGAATGGCTCAAATTACACATGGATCAAGGCCTCAACGTCCTCAATTATACCGACGTTCGTCGTTTCATCCAATTCGGTGTCATAAAAGGCCTCATTTATCGCGTGCATAGGTATGCAGTTTCTTCCATGTATTTATCATCCATTGCCTCTAGACAAGCAATACATATGGATAGAAGAGATGACGCGCTGCGAAAGTATACGGATGGCTGCCATTGTTTTGACCAAATAACCACGGTACTAAATATTGGAGAGGCAAAAATCATGGAACGACTGCGCAAATTTCCGAAGGGGGATGTAGAGGTTATTTATCGATGATATTTATCGATGAGACCGAGTTGATATCCCGACTCCCTCACATTCAACATACTAGCCGAATATCTCACGCGTGACCTGGTGGTCATAACATCTACTCAAGGCTCTGAGACATTTCCTACGAAGTAGCCATCCATCCGATGATACATCAATCTGCCACAAGAAACGCGCAAATCCCTCTCACATTCCAAAATGACCACCTTCACTCAGACGATCTAGCAGAAATCAGAGGAGGTTTCTAGCACAACCTTCCCACCCCTAGTATCACACTTCACTACTGTTGAATCGTCCATAGTATACAAGGAACGAAAGCATCATGATAAAGCATCACCGCCACAAACAACTAGTGCATGAGTTTCAACTGCGCTAAATCATTATCAACCCCTTCTTGTATCATTGTGTTCGACAACACGGGACAAGTTATGCCTCAATTCTATACAGCGATTGCCCAAGGACTTTCTTCGACACAGAATCAGAAGACCTATCTACATTCATCTACTGATGTTTCGGCACGGGGTGAAGATTGGTTAGACGAACACTCCACTCCGGGCGTTGAAAAGAAAAAGAGGGCCCTCTCCGAGGACAGCTAAATGAGATCGAGGATACAGCTCTTCCACATGAACTACGCAGGGGGCACACGCCCAGTATTCAACGACATCAAATATGTAAATACCTCACAACTACTATCATTCTACTACACTCACTCCCCAATCACGTCACCACCCAAGAATCATCAAATAATAATAGCAATAATAATATCCTATTCTAACCTATCTCACCCTCTAACTACAACAAATAACCCTCCCAACAATGTAATTGATAAGATCTATCTATATCTACCTAGGTACCTACATACCCATCGATATCAATCCCACCACCAAAAGGTCAACACAAAACACAACCTCAGGAGGAGCGAGCCCAGTTTCTTTTCATCACAGTATACAAAATGAACGCATATATACCTTGCACGAAATTTAAGTAGCAAATCCAAGTTTCCATACCAAAAAATGAAACAAATCAATTAGCCCAGTCCAGACTCCAGCATGGTCCAGCACAGTACTCTGTACAGTCATATATAACAATAGCCGCGCGCCGATAACCCCATATACCAACCAATACCTAGCATACCCATCCATCAATTCTACAAGCAAACAAGCAAGCAAGCAAGTAAGCGCCGATAGCCATTGGCTTCGCGCAACAATCCCATCTTCAACCCCACTAGTTCCCATATCTTTTCTATTTCAAGCCATAACAAAAAATAGAACCGAGCTACTCGTTCCTCATTGGTTCATCATGTAACGTGATGTGATTGAATATCTCGCCTATCTGTGAACGTCGCATGCATTGCATTGTTTCTATAATTAGTTGACTACCGGGTTTTATTATCGGGGATGCCGGAAAGTTTGTTTTTAAGGCTTTATTATGATTTATGATGCTCGTAATTGAGTGTAGCGGGGAATAGCAATGCACTTCATATGAACGCGTGGAGATTGAAGGAAGGAATTCATGGGGATGGATTCTACGGAAATCTAAGAAGTAAATATAGTGTAAATTTTGAAGTATGTAGAAGTATGTTAGAATCCACAGTCATATATAATATCCACAGGGCGAAGAGAAAACATTTCCTTCTCGCGCCGCAACGCCTTACAGCAAGGGTATCAAAAAAAAAACGCAAAATATAAAACAGCCTCCCAACTCCCCCTTGCATCGTTGATTTCGTTCTCGTTCTGATTCTCGTTTTCGTACAAGTTATGCCATTGTACCCATTGAATGCAGCTAGACATTGCTCTAACATCCCTTTACTCATGTCTCCGTCTTTCAATGTTCCAGTGCACACCGTACTGCAATGTTCTGGAGACATTGGCATCGACAGAGATAATGTGATCCGTGTGAGTGAACTTGCTCAATTGAGGCATTATCGTCTTCTCTGATATCACATTTAGAAGAACTGTATTGTTTGAGTTCCTTGAGGCAGTCTTGTAGTTTGTGACACCAGAAATCTAGCATATACGCTGGAGCCGTCATGAAGCTCGCAGCAAAATGGCAAAATCCCATCGCGGTCTGTTTGATGGTATATAGCGATCGGAGATAGACTAATTGACGTTCCAGAATTAAGCATCCTTTTCATACCGAAATGCTGACGCTCTTTCGTGGATCAACTTCATCAACACGGAAGCCAAACACCATCCTGAATAAATCTTTTAAAAAAGTGTATTGCCCAGTCCTCATCATCCAAGTAACGCTCTTAGCGAGATCACTAGCCGAGACTTTCTTTCCTGGCGGAGGTAATGAGCTTGGATTTCTGAAGGTAGGGTCGCTCAGTACTAGGTTTCGATATGATGAAAGTAGATTTGTCTGGGCCGGCGATGGACCAAAGGAACCAGTCGGCAGTGCCTTGACAAAATTTTGAAGTGTCAAGGGTGAACCTTTGGATGAGATTGCAGTTCTTGAATATCCCACATTCATTGAAGCTTTCAAGATTAGCATCTTGAGTCGTGTCAAATTTAGATCCTCCGGTTGGTTTCCGTTGGTCACCGTGCTAGCACCACTTTCTTGAGAATATCCTGAAAGTGAAGATGCGGCAGATGACCATCGCGGTGGTCTTTCTGAACCTAGAACCATTATATTTGGAATATTTGGCGAATTCTCCTCTGGTGTGATGGGAGTATCTTCGAAATCGGTTGTTGGGGTTTCGGGTAGGATAACATATCTTGTAGGTGTATGATCTTCAGGACTTTCTGATAGTGAAGCTAGACTGCTAGACTTGGTATGTGAAGAGCGAGACATTTGATCGGATGATGTTCTGAAAGTCGTCTGGGATGGGCGAGGTGTACCCCTCTCAGGGCGAACTTGTGTCCAACCTTCTCGGAAAAGATCACACAATTCCCAACAAGCTTGAACAGCAGACCCAAGAAGCTCTTCATCTGCCAATTTCCCTTCTCTTTTGTTTTGTCGAAGACTGAAAAGCATTTCAGCCAGACTCCAACAAGCCCGGAGAAGAGCATCTGTCTCCTCGGCAAGTTCATTTCTTTGTTTCATGAGACGATGGCATAGCGTTATGTAAAAGTCCAGAGTTCTTTCTCGAAAAGCTTCAGGTAAATTGCGATCGTGTGTATTGTACAGGTGATTGTTCAATTCGAAACTGACCCTCAATACCGAGTCGGCTACCTCGTCTTTCTTTTGGCGCACATCAAATAGAGATTGGCAAAAATCCCTACACAGATCGAGCGTTGGCCTAACATGAAACTCGTGATCTTCATCGCGGCTATCGTATAGTTTCTTGCAGAGCTTCCAACAACATTTCCAAGCTTTTTCGTGAGCATCCCCGGATCCAGAAAAGCTAAATATCCTTTCACGGTGAATAGAGCTAAGACTAGCCAACGTATTGCATAGTGTCCAACATTCATTAAGCGCCGTCTTCAAGGCTGATACTTCCTCGTCCGCATTATGAACTGTACGAGCATCGAAATCGTCTTCCGAAAAGTCCTTGGGAAGTTCCTCGGGAATCCCTACATCTAGTGAGTAAGGAGTCTTTGTATCTTTTTCTTCGGTTATACCTTCAAGACTACTCGGCCGAGATGGTCGTCTCTCTTCCGAAAACGACTCGACTTCTTGACGAGTTTGCGCTCGAGGTGTTTGATTCTCCAAACCGAATTTCATCGGCTTTATGTCTGTAGAGATCGGTGGAGGTGACACTGGACCTGGCTCGATATACTATGTCGTCGTTAGCTTAGCAAAGACGTATAATATAAGAGGGTTTACTTTATCCGCATGCTCAGCAACCTGAAGAATCTCTGGACTCATTCCTGGGCTATTATTGGGACTCCCACTTGGACTCGTTTTCGGACTGGTCTTCAGGCTTGTCCTTTGATTAAACTTAGGACTGGTGTGAGGGCTACTTCTTGGACTACTTCTTGAACTTCTTGAACTTCTGGACTGCTGGTATGGGGTTGGTGTTGAACGATCCAAAAGTGCTTTCGCCGATTGTACTGGAGTCGCATCACTGAATGGCTGTTATGCATTAGCCGTCAATTCTTTACCCTGTAACTCTATTGCTCACAAATTTTGCGTAGCCCTCGGGGGCGTGGATGACCGAGACAGACTCATCTTCGATGGAAGCACGAAATTCTTCTGGTAGGTTTGTGCTGAGCCTTTTCAACTGTTTAAATTATCAGCAACAATGTTTCCAACCGTGGTGGTGTACCAACAGTAAGTTGCGAATCGGCTCTGGGTATATCCTCATGGTTCATCGTTTCATCTGCCACCTCATCATCCTCAATATCTGTGGTTGTAGTGCCATTCGAGGTCACTGGCGAAGGCCCCACCATATCACTCATTGGACTGAGTAGGTGCGCGCTGGCAGGAGAAAGGCCGTCCTCGAAAGGAGTTGGTTGGAGATTCGAGCCTGAGTAATTTCGCGCGGGCCTATATGATACTATTAGCATGGTCGGTTTTTGAAATGGTACAACATACAGCGATTGGTAATATGGAGATCTTTGAATTGAAGGAGAACATGGTGAAAGAGAGAAGTCTGTATACGGAGAGATGGCTGACATGACGTTGACAGGTGAGGCAAGCAATGGACTTTCTACTGCCATTCTCCTGATATTTTGAGGCCCCAATAAAAAGATAAGAAGCTCGCACACTTCATGAAAGATTGTCTAGGTGGGACCTCGATGCTCAAGTATAAAGAAGAGATGGTAATGCTTACAACGCCAGGTTCTGGGAGGGGTTACCACTCACAGCTTCGGACGTTGGAGTGGATCCGAGAAGACTGAGGCTGAATGGAGGAAAGTCTGGCGCGGATCAAGAGTTCCAACTTCCAAGCTCAGGGCTTTGGAACTGAGTTTAGCAGAAGTGTTGGCACCCAAGGAAATACCGGTATACTTGGATCGTAAAGAGTTTAGTAGGATGAGTGGATGAGTGGATGCGTGTAGCCAAAAATATTCAAAATCAATAACAAACCTTACACGCTCAGATGCAAAAGATGGGTAAGATTTTGGAGAATTACTCGTTGATGAACAGGCTTGGGAAAGCGCTGTGCCGCAAAGTCACGTCCTCGGGGAGGATTTCGATATAAAGTGGTACTTTGTTATGACTTTCGCGCGTGGACCTGGCATCGGCGGGGGTTGATTTTCCTTGTGGGGAAAGATGGAGCGAGGATGTTCAGGATGTGAGGATGTGAGGATGTGAGGATGTGAGGATGTGAGGATGTGAGGATGTGAGGATCACTTGTGTCTACAAGTACCTGGCAATACATACGGATAAGAGAACGAACCAAACCCTTTTGTTTGGTTATATTTTCTCTTTCTTCGCATTAAGAATATTCCGTTGACATTATTGTTACTATTGTTATTCTCGCGAATAGATAAATCATACAACAATATACGATAGATGAACCGCTGCCAAAACAAACACCCTCTTTGGTCCCTTGTCGCGATGAGTACAAAATCTGCCATGTTGAAGCGGGACAAGAAATGAACATAAGAGCACAGATAATAGGCTGATAACACCGTTCAGAAAAGGACTACCTAGGTAGGTACCATCCATTATGGCTTTCTCGATGCAAGAAGAAATCAATGTTTAACCAATCATACGTGTCAATCCATGTCTTTTGATCCTCCCCGCTTGCATATATGCAGACTACAAGCATGACGGGCGCTTACAAGTTTATTTTCCAGATATACTACATACCTGGGCACTTTTGACGGCTTCCATTGTCTTGAAGTAGGCCGAGTATATTTGTATCTACATGAGATATACAACTTAGTGCTCAGTGACATGTCTAGTGACGACTCCGTTTATCCTGATTATAACGGAAGGTGGGTAATCTCAATTCGAAACATGAGAAACCACAGCAGCATATGTACAATACCGGCAACTAATCTCATATTATCACACATTCTATAAGCCGGAGAACCGTTTCCTGATTCATACACAAAGTAACATCTTGACGGGAATAAAGTATCTCATGATGTTCCGTGTCTCGAATCCCGTAAAGTCGCCATGGAAGGATGAAGGGGCAGGGAACAACGTCTATTGTCAAGGAACAAAAAAACAACATTGACAATCAATCCAACAGTTGCAAATCGCGAACCAAACGGCTGGGTCTATCATGACAGCAATAGTAGCTTCAATTATACCCAGATTAGGTTCATTGCGAACATCACTGCCAATATTTGAGCACTTCGGGGCAAAGTAATAAGCATAAGCATATCCGAAACCACGGGAATGTCATTCAAGTCAGTTAGATGGGTCGGCCGGTCATCATCGCTCAAACAAAATCTACCAGTATGGGCGGAACGAATATCGTGGACTAGCTACACGGAAAGATGTTCTCTATCTGGTGGTCCATTCCGATGATAATGATAATATCCTAGTCCTTGTTAATACCCTCCACGGGTACCTCTGTCGAAAGTTTTCTCTTTTCAAGGCCTTAGATCGATCGATGCAAAATCCCCAACTCCATGTTTGTTCTGATTCGACGAGTTTCTCGTAATTTTGACGACTTATCAAAATCAAGCAATACGCGTCGAAGTTTGATGCAAGTTTGCACCAACATGACTCCACCGCTTCTAGCCTTATAGACACGCCAGCTTTTCCCATTCTCTGCATTGCATGAGGTTATAAGAGACCACTCATTGACTATCGCTCTTACAAAAGTGCAAAGTCCTGGTTGGTAGAGTAAAAGCTCCTGCCGTCGGTGAATGCTAGAAATTTCTCGTTAGTGGCTTGTCAGATTTAAGTGCACTCCACATCAATACAGCCCAAGTCCAATGCGTTGTACGTGCATAATAGAGAACCAGTTCCTTGGGACAACTTCTACCAGCAATGATCAAGTTTTATTTGGGCGCCTGATGAAGGTCTGATAGTGCTCCCAAAACAAACAACAATGCATGTACGAAAGGATGTATGGTTATGTTGGAAATGATCCTTGATTGTGAAAATTCGATAATGAGCCGCAAATATTATCACCCCACTCCTCTGTGTAAAAAATTCAACACCGCTCGCAAATGTTTACTACACACCAATCACTGTTGGGTGTAGCCCTGGAACGCCCACGCCAAAATCTGTAGCATTTGGAATATGATCTCCAATCAACGCCTATACCATATGCCTCCCTGTCTGCTATGGTATCGTCTAATCGCATATCGCGCTTCTTCCGATTGAGCAGATCGAGTAATTGAGGTAATCCGAATCGAGCTGTGTACGAGTAAAAGGTAATATGGCTGATTTGACTTATTAACCGTTCAAAGCGGCCTTTTTCGCATCTCTCTCGGCAGGATTGTATCTAACGAATCGGTCAGTAAATGAGGAAGCAAGTATTTATCTGACATATAAGTGCGACTCTTCGCTTCTTTGTTCGTCTAGCACAATAATGGGAGTGATATTTCGTACCTAAGAAGTTTCTCGATGAGGTCGACATGGGTCATGATCATGCGACGGCAGCAATATCTCTTCAATGTGAGCTCATCCATAGCATCACTATAACAATGTGTTAGTATTGTGAAGCAATAAGAACAGTGCGCAGTGTGGTTCTCTTACCCGTCGTTGACTCCCTCGTCAATGAGCTTGACATATCGCTCCCAGATGTCTCCGGTAACCTGTTCTAACGGTTAGCGCGCGACTCTCACGCGAATGCTTGATGTAGTTTACCTTTCCGCAAGAGAAACAACGAACTGGAATAATCATTTTGATGTGTATAGGTGTAGATGTGAATATCTGCGATGATGTTGTGTTTCTAGGATTTAAATTGAAGTTCTGCGCGTGAGTAGATACCAAGAACTTTTTTCTTTATCGCCGGAACAACTCTCGGTAGATCTTCGGTTATCAAATAAAAAATAAAAAACGTTCAGAGCTTCTGCCTCATATTTGCCAATCCGAACCTCGAACTCTTCTTGACTTTCAAGAATTTTTGACAGCACAATGGCTTCCATATTGAAGCGCAAAAGAGTTCAAACAGAGGTAGCAGATATTCCAAAGAGGTCTAAACCTACCTCAGAATCTGCGGATTCTTCTACCAAATTTGTTCAGAGCAATGGCGGGTTTGACATTTTTGAATCGCTGGGAAAGGGAAAAGAATTGGCCCAGGTCAATGGCGCGCACGCCAAAGATGAATTAGATTCAACAGAGGTTATCGATTTTGAGGATCTATTTGAAGATGTGCCATTACAATCTACGGACTCGCAGGCAAAACGAGGCATGAAGCCAAAGAAGGAAATTTGGGAAAAGAAAATTCCACAGGCCCCCAAGCCAGTGAAAGATCAAAGCTGGAATATTTCTGAACCTGTTGGTGGGCGTATGATCGATGCCGATCCTATTTTTACAGAAGACGAGAAGTATGACATCGATTTCTCCTTGCGACGAGCTCAATGGCTAACTGAAACCAAGATACATGATCTTAGCAACCCGTATGAGCCTCCTCATCTACTCGACCTCCGATTCTCTCCTCACCCGATCGATAAACTTCGACCACTCGAAACATCCTTTCGCTCATGTTGTCGCATACGAGCTCTCGCCGACTGATTCTAATATCGTTTGGGCAGCCCTGTCTGATGGAGCGATATACCGACTGGACTGGACTTTGGGAACTGGCAACGATCAATCCTGGAAGATTTCGTCTACCGGGTGCATACATATGACTGTCGCTTCTATGGTATCCGCTGGGCGACGAAGAGATGTGGTATTTACAACCGAACCCAAGAAGGATGGCGGCTGGCGAATTACCGCGAATGAATTGACTCAGCCTGGTTCGCAAATACAAACAGTCGCAAGAACCATATATACTTCAACAAACCCAATCAACTATCTAAAAACTGCCAATGGAGGCTCTGTACTGCTCGCGGCTTCTGGAAAGAGCATCTTACTTGGTTATGTTCGGAACTTGGATTTTGATACTACTGACAAGATCAAGTACGTATTCCGTATGTTTGATTCGACTGCTCCTATAATGTCTTTGGATGCACGAGTATATCCTAGAACGGGTACCGATGACAGGAATATATCAAAGAAGATACCAGTTGTTGATGTAGTGGTTGGTGATGCGAAAGGATTCATCTTCATACATCGTGATTTGCTAGGCAATCTCATACAATCAGAAAATAAAAATTACGCATCCATGATCAACCTTGTGCCGACAAGATTACATTGGCATAGAAGGGGTGTCCAGACCGTCAAGTGGTCTCTGGATGGTATGTATATCTTTCGCGCTTCACTCTCTAGCAACACCTGAGCTGACCCGATAATAGGAAACTACATTATATCAGGAGGTAGCGAAACAGTCCTCGTGCTTTGGCAATTAGATACCGGAAAGACGCAGTTCTTACCTCACATGACATCTACTATTCTCAATGTGGTCGTATCTCCTTCTGGGTCCTCGTATGGTATTCAGCTTGCTGACAATTCTGCGATGGTATTGTCTACAGCCGAGTTGGAACCAACGGCAAATTTTGCTGGCATCCAATCCAGCGTCACCCAATACGCCGAACCCCGAGCAGATGAAGTGCAGAGAGCAAAATCCCATTTCTATAAATTTCATGTTGTCCAGCGGACACCTGCTGTTATCAGTTCTGCAAACCCTTCTCATCTATTTCTTGGCGTTGGACAGACTCCAGAAGTGCCATTTTACGAAGCTCCTGTTAGAAATTGTTCATTTTTACAGACCTATGACCTTAGTGCTGGACATAATGTATCAAAGCAAGCTCTTGCAAGGACAAATGTCACCAGTATTAACGAGACACCAAACGCACTTCCAGTGTCGGAACCCAGAGTCACTCATATTCAGAAGTCTCACAATGGCCTTTGGCTAGCTACTGTTGATGAGTGGACGCCTTCTCACGCCGACCTCGATTTCGTAACTCACCAGGCTACAAACCCATTTGCTGAATTGAAGCTGAGGCGCGAAATTTGTTTGAAGTTCTGGCAGTGGAAAGAAGCAGAGCAGACATGGGAATTGGTATCGCGAATCAATACTCCACATATGGCAAGTGATGCCGCACCTGGAGCCGGTCAAATCCTGGGTCTCGCCTCAGATCCCAGCTCCTTGAGATTTTCTACAATAGGAGAAGACAGTGTGGTGCGAACATGGGTTCCAAAAACTCGAAAAAGAGATGGCATTGCAGTCAAGGATGGAAAGGGCAACGCTCTCAAAAACTGGCACTGCCAGCATGAAATTCAACTCGAAAAGTCAGAGCTTACCGATGACTACTTGCGTAGTACGCCATATAATGGTGCTATAGCGTTCGCGGATGATGGCTCAATTCTAGCTGCTGCATTTGGTAAAAACGGAATAGTTCACATGATCGATCCCGAACAAGGCTCTGTCACAGCCTCACAGCAAGGCCTATTTGAAGGTAGTATCGTGGCCATGGAGATCTTAGGCAGAGATCTCATAACTCTGTCCGATTCGATTCGTGTACATGATTTGGTTTCGGATCAATTGAGGTATAGCTTAAAGCTATACAAATCTATCACACGCATGCATATTATACAAAAAATTGAGATGATGCATTTAGCCATCAATCGAAACAGTCGTACATTCGCAGTCGCTATTCCAATGAGACTTACCCCTCCATCAGCAGAGGAGCTCAGAGAACAAACTTTCCCGCCAACGTATTCTGGGTTCGCCGTCTTCAGCCAGGAAAGTCAAGTGCCACTGTTGACCGAGTGCTTCGAGACTGCTGTCTCGGCTATTGTACCCACTGAGGATTCGGAAGGATTCTTGGTCCTCAATGGAGCTGCTGAAGTCCGAAATGTGATGAAGAAGGGCACTCAACCAATGACCGCTTTGGCCCAATCAACTACTGAACTTAAATTGGATGCGATTGCAGATGAGCCAACTGGCGATCTGTTACAAATGATTGAGGATGTTGAGGATGAGCCGGAAGAGGCTGAACCTTTATCGCCTGCAGTCATTGAGGATGATGATGATACACCTGTTGTGACACAACAAGCACTTTCGGGTGTATTTGATATTGGGCCAGCATTTGCATTGCCACCCTTGGAGGAGATGTTCTATCAAGTGGCAGGATTATTTTCTAGTAAACCTTTGGAAAAGATGGTATAATGAATTTTAATGGTTTCTGTACTTTAAGTTGGCATAGCGAGGGCGGTTTATAAAACCTTGAGCGTTAGGGAGCTTTGTATATGGCTGTACAGAGCTTAAAAGTATTTATACCTTGCAGACTTTGGCTAGTTTTTTCCTTGACTTGGAATAAAATGTTAATATTACTTATCGATGTGCTTCATGAATTTTTCCTTTGTGAGGAGACCCTTCAGCGGTTACATATCTCATCTATCATTAAGGGTCGTTTAATGCGGATCGCGCCAGATAACGAAATCACCCCGCACCCCACTTCCCATCTAGGATTCATGGATTTGTTCACTAAGCACTGCTTGGAGTAACATCACATCATGTTACTAGCATATTCGTAATTCTGTGAATTACAATTTCCATATCAAGTTCATAATATAAAAGTTTCCTTCTATATAATACAACTTTCAATACCTGGCACTGTGCAAAGAAATACATACCACTACCATACATAATGTCCTTCACCAACATCCCAATACTCGACCTCTCTCTCGCCAGATCCCCAGAAACTAAGCCCGAGTTTCTGGATCAACTGCGCCATGCATTACTCGAAGTGGGATTTCTATATCTGAAGAACGTTGGGATAACCCAGGAACTAATAGATAATGTTATCGAGGAAGGGGTCAAGTTCTTTGATATTCCTCTGGAGGAAAAGTAGGTTTTCTCTGCTCACTTCCCACATCTCATTTCAGCGATATACTTGCATAAACACCCAATAGGTATGCCAAACCTCCAATCTAACTTCATCCAGGACCAAAATCCAAATGGTCAACGCGCCCTCTTTCCTAGGCTACTCCCCCCTCTCTGCCGAAATCACCGCCCACGCGATCGATCAGCGCGAACAAATCGATCTCTCCACTCCCCATCCTATCCCTACTGCCTCCGATCCCCTCCACTACAATCTTCTCGCTCCCAATCTCTGGCCCTCGCCCACATATCTCCCTAATTTCCGCCCCGTTTTCGAATCATACATCAAACAGATGGGTGATATATCCATATTCTTCACCAGTTTGATTGCAGAAGCTATTGGACTCCCCGCGAATGCATTTGAGCGATATTTTGATACCGATCAACAGCATAAACTAAAAGTGGTTAAATATCCGGATTTAAAGGAATTGGGCCTGCGGCCCGAACAAGAGGGTCAGGGAGTAGGTCCACATAAGGATTCCATGTTGACGTCGTATTTGTTGCAGGTTGGGGATAAGAAGGGGCTACAGGTGCAGAATTTGAGGGGGGAGTGGATTGATTGTCCGCCGATTGAAGGGACGTTGGTGGTGGCTATTGGACAGGGAATGGAGGCGCTGACGAAGGGGGTTTGTATGAGTACTACGCATAGGGTTTTGAGCCCGCAGTATGGAGGGGGGCCGAGATATAGTGTGCCGTTTTTTCAGGGGGTGAGGGGAAGTACGAGATTTGAGGAGTTGAATGAGGTGGGGATTGGGGAGGTGAAGGAGGAGGTTAGGCAGATGAGGAGAAAGGTTTTGGAGAGTGTGGGGGGTAGGTTGGATGATGTTGAGTTTACTTTTAGAGGGGGCGGAAAGGCGGATACGCTAGGGGAGGCGACGTTAAGAAATAGGATTAAGAGCCATGTGGATGTAGG